CAAAACCTCGTCGCCATCAACCACGCGTACCGCTCCCCCCCCAATCCTTCCATCCTTCCGCCCCCCCTCCTCCCTCCCTCCGCGAATATTCCCATGTTTCGCCTCACGGACACGAGACGGTGTCGGGGGGGGGTGGTCGTGCGTGCCAGGCTGGGCCACGTGGCCATCCTCTCGCTCGCGTCGCTGAGCCTGCGGGTGCTGAGCACTGCCCCGCACGGCATATCGTCGGCGTGCCACGACACCCTGCACATCGCCTCGTACTGCTGCTCGGCGGGTGTCATCTACCAACTCATGATCGGCCACAACGACAACACCTGCCTCCAAGTACCCACGAAATCCCCCGCCCCCCGCCCCCCGCCCACCAATACTCGTCTCGTGTCCGGTTTCGTCGCTGTGCGTGTATTTATTATTATTATTATACTATTATATATATAGTGCGTGTGTGCATTGCGTGTGCGTGCATTGCGTGTGTGCGTGCGTGCATTGCTAACTACTACTCCTCTCGGTGGGTGTGCGTGTGCCGTGTAGGAATTGTACAAGGACCCCAACAACGAAGAGATCACGGTGATCGTGAACAGGGAGCAGCGCACGCTGTTCTACGGCACCGCCAACGGGACCCTGCGCCGCCTCGACTTTCCGTCGTCGGAGATCGGCGGCACCTGCCAGTCCACCCTCCTCCAGAGCGGCCACGTCCACCCCGGTACCCTCCCTCCCTCTCTCTCTCCCTCCCTCTCCCCGTGCTAGTGCCGCCGCCGAACCAGCCCTCTTCTTCTGAAATTCGCCGTTTGTCTGTCTATCCCTCTCTACCTTTACACACGATCCTACCATTTACATTCCTACATACATTTGCATACGTACGTACGTACTTGCATGCATGTATGCGTCGGGCTTTTGGCCCGCCGAGCAGTGAAGGAGCTGCTGCCGCTGGGCAATCGCACGCTGGTGTCGTCGTGCGCGGCTGGACACGTTCGGTGTTGGAACAACTACGACGTCGCGCAGATGAACTCCTACTCCATCCCCGCGGGTGCGACCCCCCCTCTTTCCGTCCTTCGGAACTGCACAAATGATATTTCTGATGGTTTGGTTCCGTGCGTGCGTGCGTGCAGGTGCGCTGCTGATGGCGCCCTACCTGCTGCAGGCGCAGGAGGACCGTGTGCACATCTACGACGTGCTGTCGGGCAAGATGCTCCACACCCTCCACGCCGTCAACGGATCGCACGTGACGGCACTTTGCGTGTGCCACGACAAGTCGTTCTTCGGCGGGATGCTCCTCGTCACGGCCCACTACGACGGCACCCTCCAGCTGTGGTCCCTCGGGCTCCTCTCCCTCCTTCTGCGCGAGCAGCACCAGGCCTCCCCGCACCCGCCCAAGAAGACATAGCCTGCACATGCCTGCCTGCCTGCCTGCACATGCATCACCTCGATATATATGCCTTTAGGGATGTATCCTCTTGGAGAGAGAGAGAGGATCACCACCATGGCCCCATCAGCACCGGTGGTGGTGGTGGCTGGTGGTGGTGCCAACCAACGTGACGCCTCTTCTCTCTTGTTGACTCTTTTTTGGTCCAAAGAATTAAATTAGAGACCCGAACACAACACCGGCGCACGTGGGGGGGGGCTGCCGCTCACTCCTCGCTGGAGGCGGTGCCCGAGGAGTGGAGGAGGGAGTAGAAGATGCCCCCGCTGTCGGCCAGCAGCTCGGCGGGAGGGCCGAATTCGGCGATGAGGCCTTGGTCGAGCACCAGGATGCGGTCGTAGTCGATGATGGTCTGAATGCGATGCGCAATCGTCAGCACCGTCACGTTGACGAACTCCTCGCGGATCGTTCGCTGGATGAGAGCGTCGGTCTCGTAGTCCACGGCCGCTGCAACCCCCCCCCCACCACACGTGTGAGTGACACCAACGCCAGTTCATGTCGCGCCCGGTGGCGATGAGGGGAGATGAGGAGAAAGGTAGGAAGAGGAGAGGAGGAAGGAGGAGGTGTCTGTCAACGCACCGGTGGCTTCGTCCATGACGAGCACCTTGGCCCGGCGCAACAGGGCACGGCCCAGGCACATCAACTGGCGCTGCCCGACGCTCAGGTTCTCGCCGTCTGCGCGCAGTCCATGGACGATGAGGCCGTTATAGATCTGCAACGCAGACGCGCGAGGTGCGAGGGCTGGACTGGGCGGACGTACATTCGGCGACTGCAGCGTCGAGGCCGCCCATAGCCTCGACGGCGCTCTTGAGGTGCACCTTGTTGAGGGCGTACCAGAGGTCCTCCTCCGGGAACTGGTCGAACGGATCCAGGTTGCTGCGAATGGTTCCTGGCAGTGTGCATGTGTGTGTGTGTGTGTGTGTGTGCCGTGTGTGTGTGTGTGTGCCGTGTGTGTGTGTGTGTCGTTGGTCGTGTGAACAATAAGGCCTCGGGGAGGGAGGGAGGAGCGCGGGGTTGGCATGCGAACCGGTGAACAGGGTGGGGTCCTGCGGGATGATGGAGAGGCGGGAGCGGAGAGTGTCGAGGCCCAGCTTGTGGATGTCCACCCCGTCGATGGTGATCGTTCCCTCGGCCGGCTCCACCAGGCGGAACAGGGCCAGCATCAACGAGCTATTACAGAGTAGGAGGCAAAATTAAACCCAAAAAATCAAAAAAAAAAAAAACGGCCAGGCACCGCTACCACCATTTTGAGGCAAGCAGCGGTAGCACGTTGGTGGTGGTGGTGGTGGTCGTGGTGGTGGTGGTGGTCGTGGTGGTGGTGGTGGTCGTGGTGGTGGTGGTGGTCGTGGTGGTCGTGGTGGTCGTGGTGGTCGTGGTAGTCGTGGTGGCTGGTCATGGTGGTTGGAGAGGAGGAGGAGACTTATGGGGCGGGCGGGGTGGTTACCTCTTGCCGGCGCCGGTGCGTCCAACGACGCCGATCTTTTCGCGCGGCTTGATCTCGCAGTCGATGCCCCGCAGCACCAGGTCGAGGCCGGGCCTGCAAACGTGGCAGGAGGGGGGGGGCGAGAGAGAGAGAGAGAGAACAACTCAGTGACGACTGGCTACCCCTCCTCCTCCTCCTCCTCCAAAAGGGGGGCGCCACGCGTGGATGGGAGCAGGCCGGGGAGGGGGAAGAAGCGAGCGAGCGAGCGAGCGAGCGAGAGAGAGAGTACCGGTAGCGTAGCTTGAGGTGGGACATGGTGATGGCGCCCTCGCGCGGCCAGTCGGGCGGCGGCGCCGTGTGTGGGATGAGGGGAGGGGCCTCCACGGCGATGTCGAGGTACTGGATCACGCGCTCGACCGACACCAGCTGGGTTTCCGTCTCCGAACTCATTCGCACCAGCCTGTGCCCACCGGCGGGCGGCATGCAGACGGCAGGAGTCAGTTCTCAGATATATATATACATATAAACATAGAAATATACAAACATAGAAATATATAAGCATAGAAATGGAAAAGATAAAATATCTGAGTTGCGAGCATGTGCCCCAGTGGGCAGAGGAGGAGGAGGAGAGGGCACGCACCAGTTGAGGGTGCCGGTGATGTTGAGGGCGTAGGAGATGGAGAGGCCGGCGAGGCCCGGGTCGATGTTGTGCCGCTCGATGACGGCAAAGAGGGCCGCGAGCGACACCACGCAGGTCCCGATGAACTCCACGCGCACCCCCAGCCACCGGTTGGCCACGTTGGAGATGAAGAACGCCTGCGCACACACCTCCCCACTGTCAGCCCCGCCTCACCCTCGCCAATATGCGTTCCGCTGCTGCTGCTGCTGCTGCGGTGTGCACGCGCACGCACCTTTTGGTTCTGGTCCAGCTTGGCCTGGTTACTGGAGATGAACGAGGGCTGCGCTCGCATTCACCCACGATCACCACCCATCATTTACATGCCACACACCACAACGATTTCCGATCAGTGGCGTGTGGGTGCGGCAATATTATAGCTGTTCCCCCGGGTGTGGTGTGTTGCGTGTCGTGTCGTGTGGTGTGGTGTGGTGTGTGTGTGTGTGTGTGTGTAGGGCACCTGCTTGTTGAAGGAGCGGATGGTGGAGATGCCGGCGAGGGTCTCGGAGAAGTGTGCGTAGATGGGGCTGCGGGAGATGCTGTCCAGGCGCTTGATCTCGCGCGAGGAGCGCACGTAGTACTGCTGCATGGCGTGGTAGATCTTGCCCAGCGGGATGAGCGCGCACAGGAACCAGGGCGTCACCACGCAGATCACGATCACGATGCCCAGCGACGAGAACAGCGTATTCAGGAACATACTGGACACACGCCACACGCCACACGCCACACGACGCACAACACACACCATCGCACACGCGCTGTCAGCAGCTGAGGTCGTCGAGGCACGGATATGCCTCACGATCTGTGACATTTGAAGGGGGAGGGGTGACAGAAGGGGGGCGGGCGTGTGTGTATGCATGGGTAGGTGGGTAGGCAGGGCGGGGTAGGTGTACCGCATGGTGTTGGGCAGCTGCTCGTCCACGGTGTAGATGTCTTTCGAGAAGCGGTTGAGGATGCGGCCCACGGGCGTCGTGTCGAAGAAGGCCATCGGCGCGCGCAGCACCTGATGAACATGACGTGGGCGGACGTACGGACGTAGGTACGTATGGATACACAACCGCCCCGCCCCGCCGCCTCCGTCAATGGGATGGTGGTGGCTGGTGGTGGCTGGGGCATATGTGTGGGGGGGGGTGTGTGGTGCGCTGCGCTTGTCTAACAGCAACAGCGTGGGGGCACATGATGCGTACTCGCTGTACGAGCCGGTCGTGGAGGGTCTCGGCGGCGTTGAGGCCGGCCACGGCGCTGAGGAGGGAGCGCACGAATACGAACGCGGTGGAGGCTCCGCCCAGAGCGGCGTAGATGCCCAGGTAGAAGTACACCTCGTCGGCCGCGTTGGGCTGCGTGGACCAGTGCGACAGCCACCAGTTGCCGCCGATTTGGGCCGATTGGTCGATGAGGTAGAGGAGAAGGATGCTGCCCACCAGCAATAGGCCGCCCACAGCGAACGTGTACTGGCGATAGACCTCCCACCCCACCGATCCTGTCCGAACACACGACACACGCGTGAGCGGTGGGTGATCAACAAATCGAATCAGAATGAGTAGGGGGGGGGTGCACCTATGTCCCGCTCCTCTGCGGCGATGAGCTTCTGGACGGGCTTGGCGGGGGCCGTGACGGTGACGGTGGCGGCGGGAGCAGGCAGCAGCGGCTGCTTTTCCGCGGGTGGCCCTCTGCTGCTGCTCGCATGATGCCGCCGCCGTTGCCACCCCCCCCCCACAAAGACGATATATCGCGTTAGCCACCACCGACCAGCGAGCAACGTTGCAGCAACACGCCAAGGGGGAAGGACGGGCCAATCATCCAGAGAAGAGGCGCGCACCTCGAAAGAGAAGAGGTGGAGGAGGAGAGCAGCCCCGGCTGTTCCTCGCCAGCAGCATGGGCAGCGTCCGCCGCGTCATCTTCCGCGACGGCGCCGGCATCGGAGGAGGCCGGGGCGGGCTTCACGTGCGTGTTGATGAGGCGCGCAAATTCTCTGGCGGCGGCGGCACAGACAAACCAGCAGCCAAGAGGGGGGAGGGGGCAAACGCAGAAGTGAGGGCGAGCACACACGCACGCACGCACGAACACCAGCCACAACCAGCCACCCACCACCACCGGGGGGGTAGAGGGGGGGGGCACCGATCGGCGAGCATGAGGTCGTGGTAGGTGCCCATCTCGACGATGCGTCCGTCCTTGAGGACGATGATCTGGTCGACGTCGGCCAGGTACTGCAGCTGGTGGGTCACGAGCACGCGCGTCTTGTCCCGCAGCTGGTCCCGAATGCAGTTCTCGAAGATGGCCTTGCCCACGTGCGCATCCACCGCCGACAGCGGGTCGTCCTGCATCACCGTCGTCGTAGTCGTCGTCGTCATTAACATCATTGTGGTGGTGGTGGTCGTGGTCGTGGTGGTGGTCATGGTCGTGGTGGTGGTGGTCGTGGTCGTGGTCGTGGTGGTGGTCATGGTCGTGGTCGTGGTCGTGGTCGTGGCGGCGGCGGCGGCGGCGGTCGTGGTGGTGCGGTATCAGTGGTTCCATTCCCCCACCGGTGAGTGCGGAGGAGGTTGCAAGAGCCGAAAGGAAGCACGTACGAGGAAGTAGATGTCGCGGTCGGCGTACACGGCGCGGGCGAGGGAGATGCGCTGCTTCTGCCCGCCGGAGAGGTTGATGCCCTTCTCTCCGATCTCTGTCATGTCGCCCGACGGCAGCATGGCCACGTCCTGCCGCAGCTCGCACACCCTAATCCATGCATATCCATCCATGCAGCCCCACCCCAGGTGATGCACCCGCACCCCCCCCCCGATGTGAGGCTCCAGCCACATCATTGGAAGCCACCTGTGTGTCGTGTGTGCGTGTCGTAGGAGTGCGCACTTGACGCAGGTCTCGTAGCGTGCGTGGTCGTAGGGGTCGCCGTAGAGGATGTTGTCCTGGAGGGTGGCGTTCTGGATCCAGGCCTGCTGGGTGACGAGGGCCACGGACCCGCTCAGCATGACCTGGCCCGCCCGCTTGTGGCTGTCGCCCAGCAGGGCCGAGAGCAGGGCCGACTTGCCGCTCCCCACCGCGCCCACCACGGCCACCAGACTGCCCCGCCTGGGTACCCACGCACGACCACGACACCGGTGCGGCACACCAGCCAGCCAGCCAGCCACCACATGTGCGCGGGTGAGCGAGTGGGCAGCCCACGGGAGGAGAGGGGGGTGGACGCACTGGACGGAGATGTTGATGTCCTGGAGCGTGACCGGGGTCGAGGGGTTGGAGTCCCAGGCGAAGCAGCCGTTCGTCACCCGAATGGCGAGGTCCTCGCCGCCCTCTTCGCTCTCCTGCTGCTTCTTATCCTTCTGCTTCTTCTCCTGCTGCTTCTTCTTCTTCTGCTTCTGCTTCTTCTCCTCCTGATGTGTGTGCCGGTATTTCGCGCGCGGGTGAGGGGTGGTGGTTTGATGGGGGGGATAGAGACCGAAGTGCCGAGGGTGGAGGGGAAGGGGGGAGGGGGTACAGGAGGGGGGAGGCGCAGGACGGCGTTGGGGTCGAGTTCCTCGGAGAGGAGGTAGGCCGATATGCGCTTCACCGACACGTGGGCCTCCACCAGCGACGAGATCACCTGCGGCAGCATGTTCTGTGTACGCCGCCGCCGCCGCCGCCCGGATATTTGTGGCCACCGGGCATTGGAGGGGGAGGCAGGGGTTCACGAGAGTCAGGGCAGGGTCGGGAGCTGGCGGGTATATAGGTGGGTGCGTACCAGCGGGAACCGCAGCACGTTGAACAGCGCTATATGTAAATATATATATATATATATATATATACATCACACGCGACACACACACCACCGTGGGTGGGCGCGAGACACGGGGCAAGCGGTGTGAATCGGTGGGGTGAGGCAACAGAGGATTGGAAAAAAGGAAGAGGGGGGGGGTGTGTGAGGCGAACCTAGTGCCGTGAAGGCTGTCTCGGCGTCGAGCTGCAAACAGACACCAAAGCGCGCAACCAAACCAAACCCCGTGTTAGCATCCGTCGCCGCCACCATGAATGATGATGATGACGACGACGACGCTGATGACGACAACGAAGGGGAGGGAGGGCAAGGGGTGGGGGGGTGCAGCACCGTGTTGCCGAGGAGGGTGTAGGTGGTGAAGGTGATGACGGAGACGAAGAGCGGGGTGGAGGTCCAGAAGAACATGGTGATGACCTTGAGGTAGGCCGACTTCTTCAGGGTGCGGAGCTCGTCGGCGCGGATGGTGCCGATCTTGTCGTTGAAGCTGGACTCCCAGGCGAAGAATTTGATGACGCGTATGCCCTGGAGCACCTCGTTGACGATCTTGGTGCGGTTGTCCTTGCACGTCATCATCTCCTTCTGGATGGCGCCTTGCACGCGGGCCAGCCACGAGTTGAGCGGGATGAGCAGCACCATCACCGCCACGCCCCCGAACGTCGCCACGCCCACCACCTGCCACAGCAGCACCAGGCTGATCCCGATCTGCACGAACGAACTCCACACCATGTGCAGGTACCTGCCGCCCCCGCCCGCCCGCCCGCCCAAGGCCACCACATTGCCGAGGAGGAGGTAGAGGAAGAGGAAGAGTGGTTAGGGAAGAGGCGAGGTGGGAAGGGGCTTGCTTCCACACGCGCGGGTGAAGCGGTGTACGGGATGAGGTCCATCAAGCGCTGCGCGTCGAGCGACATCCTACGCACACACGCACGGCATTGTTATTGTTACTGCCGTTCGTTGGTGCGAGCAAACAGGAGGCCACTGTCGGGAATGAGAGGTACAGGTTGACGATCTCTCCTACGGTGGACTGCTGGCGCGCGGAGGCGCTTTGACGGAAGGCCTTGCGGTAGACTTCCACCACCACGCTGCCTCGAATCTGCACCGGAGATCGCCAATCGATCCCGTCAGTCCACACACACACCCACCCACACACGACAATTTGCAAAGTGGTGCGGATCGGCATCGGAGGAAAAGAGAAAAATGAACTGCGAGATGGTGCGTGATGGTGCGTACGTGCATGCCCACGCGGTAGCCGATGTTGAAGTACTGGTGCACGGCCAGCGTCTGGATGGAAGTGAGCACGAACATGGCCGCCGCCAGCCCGAGTCCATAGTAGAGGGGTTTGGAATCGTCCTGCCGCCGGCCCCCGTCCCATCAGCCGTCAATGAGGAATAGATAAATAAATTGATAATATGTCCGGACGTGCGCCAGGCCAGGATGAGGGAGATTGTTGGGGCGAGGAAGGGCCTGGAAGGAGGGAAGGGGGGGGGGTTGGGACACACCTGCACGAAGCCGATGAGGCGGTTGAGCAGGACGGGACCGGCGAACACGAGGATGTCGTTCACAAACTTGTAGCACCCGGCGACCAAGAACGGCAGCCCAAAGGCCTTCACCAGCGCGCGCGGCAGCGAGTGTCTGCACGGCGACGCGTCGTCATCGGTCCATCATGTGACAGATATAGTTGAATATAGAAACGTAAATAGAAATAGATATTTACATAGCCGTACGTACGTGGTGCATGCACCGCACGGCCGAAGAAACAGGGATGGAAGGGGGGGGGTGATTTGGGGGGGGGGCGTACAGAGAGGCAGCCTGACTGTCCCAGGCACGGCGGAAGGCGGCCACGAAGTGGGCCGACTCGTCCTGGCGGGCGAGCTTCCACAGGTCGTCCATCACCAGCGGGTGCTCGTACCCGAAGAAGAGGAGCGGGTTGAACCACCAGAACGTACTAGTGTGCACCACGCACGGTTGGCCACGCCACACGGGCGCCCCAGGCACCAGCGGAACACGCGTGAGCATGGGATGGGATGGGTGGAGGTTGTTGGTGGTGGGGTGGGGTGGGGTGGGGTGGCGTACAGCTGGGAAAGGAAGTTGGCGCGGTCCTCGGCGCTCTCGGCGTTGCCTCCCGGAAACTAGTCTCCCCGCGAACGGGCGCAACAACAACAACAACCAACAACAACCAACAACAACAACAACAACAACACGGGCTGTGGTGAGCCGGAGAAGGGCGGGAGAGCGAAGAGAGCGCTTGGAGTAGAGGGCGGGGTGGCAGAGGGATTGGGGAGGTAGTTACGCGGTCATCTTGGTTGGGCACGAAGGTCGAGTAGGTGGCGACTGCCTTGCCGCCAGGGTGCTGCTGCTTGAGGCGCTCGTAGATGCGCAGCACGGGTGCGTCGTTGAACCAAAGGCCCAGTATGCACACCGCCCCGCAGATCGCGAACTGCACAAAGAAGACCACAAAGTCCCACTGCCACCCGTTCTGCTTCCCCACGAACGGCACCACCAGCCACCAGCCACCAGCAGCAGCGCATCGTACATGCGTACCAGCGCCCACAATCGGTGCATCATCAGCGCCCGCAGAGAGAGAGAGAGAGAGAGAGAGAGAGAGAGCGCGGGGAGAGAAGAGGACGTACGTGCTCGATGAGCACCACGGCCGTTTGAAGGCGCACGGAGGCCAAGACGAAGGCCATGAGCCACCACCCGCGCATAACCCACGTCTGTGGCACTCCGCGCGAGTGCTCCATCATGGCGATCACAGCCGCGTATGCCTGCCGCGGTTTGGAGGAGGTGGAGGAGGACAAAGTATGTCTGCCGCTGTTAGCCCTGAGGGCACAACGTTGAAGAGAAGGGGGGGGGCTTGAAGCCGAGGGGAGAGCACCCAGCCGATGGTCAGAAGGACATCGCCGAGGAGCTCGTACGGCTCCGCCGTGTCCACGAAGAGGTTGCCGCCCACCTGGCAGCGGGTGAGCTGTGTAGTGAGAGGGAGAGGGGGGAGAGAGAGAGGAGGGGGAGAGAGAGAGAGCATGAATCGCACCTTGAGTGCGTAGAGGGCGGCTTGCACGAGGCACAGGATGACCTTGCCCAGATAGGCCCATCCCCCGCCCATCTGCCACACGACCAACACGACCAACGACGCACACCATTTGAACCGATGCGTTGGCAGTCACGTTGACAGCAGCAGCAGCAGCAGCAGCAGCAGCACACGGAGCAGGAGAGCAGGAGGAGTGCATACGTTGAGGTCGAGATAGCGGCGGCGGACCTGCACGAGGCGCAGGGTGCCCAGCAAGAGCAGCCATCCGACGTGCACCCCGGCACCCACCCTGCTCATCACCGCCACCACCGGCACCGGCACGTGCCGCAGGCATCAGCAAACTGCCCCCCCTCTCCCCCCAAAAGAAGGGGCGGGTGGGGGTCGCACGAGTCCAGAAAGCAGAGGGTGAGGTTGCCGTCATCCCAGGGTCCCTGCAACCCCGCGCCAGGCCAGGCCAGAATAAAAGAAATACAAATCAGCAACCAAAAAGGGCACCCAAAAACAAGGTGAAGGGCGGAGGGAGCAAGAACCCAGGGGTGAGTGCCACACAAGGCCTCTGTGTCCATGGCGCGATGATGCGGGCCCGCTCCTGCTCTGGAGATATTTATGGGTAGGCGGATAAGGACGCGGTTAAAAAAAAAAACAGTTTTCCGAAGGCTGGTTTCTGGTTGGGAGAAACAAGGCGCCGATAGGCGGAGTGTTGTTGTGACACGATCCCGCATCATCACTAAGGCCGGGGGGGGGGAGTGTGTTGTGGCAGAACTGCAGTCTCTCTCTCTTTCGGAAATTGTTCGCACACAGGGCAGGGAAGAGAAAGGAGAACGGCCAGCAGCGGCAAGAAGGTCTGCAGCAAGAACTAAAGCTCTGCCACGCCGCACGAAGCGCTTTCGTAGCGGCTGCCACCCTCCGCGTGTGTCACATGCGGTGCTCCGGGCGGCGCCTGGAGTCCTCTGGCTGGGCGCGGTTCAGTGGATGAGCTTGCGCACCCACTTGAGGTAGACCACCTGCACTCGGAAACAGACATGATGACGACGATGACGATGGCGATGATGGTCATCCGCGCCGCACACCCTTTCTGAGTCAGCTGCTCCTCCGCTCGCTTGTGCGCCAAGAGGTCACTTGGTGAAGAAAGAGAAAACGGTGGGTACGCACGGCAGCGATGCCACCCACGAGGGCCACCATGATGAGCAGCAGGATGATCTTGTTCGTGACCGCCCGGCGGGACATCCCCATCAGCACCTTGCGAGCCGACGAAAGGTTGTCGTTCACGTCAAATACCTGGTTGGCGTGCACCACAAAACAACACGCGCGCACGCGTTGAGTCCATGCAACGAGCTCGAGGTAAACCGAGCCGTGGGTTGGGTTGGGTTGGGTTGGAGGGTACCTTGTCATAGGCGCGCTTGAGCGTTTCACGCTGGTCTCCGAGCTCGTCGAGGATGGCAACGCCTATCTCCTCGTTCTGCTGCGCCAGACGCTGGGCGCGCGCCAGCCGGTCGCTGCTTTCGTCTAGCACGGCTTGGTCTCGCAGCAGCCGCGCTCGCTGCCCCGTCGCAATGGCCTACTCTCCCAAACAAAAACATGATTATTTGTGTTAAACAAAAAAAAACAGAAAACAGAAAAGATGGATACAACCAAATAAAAATGAATCAGATTTGAAGAAACACTGGGAATGGATGGGTGACCTCGAGGTCGTCGTCATCGTCTTGGGCTTCGTTGAGGTAGTCTCGAGAGCCCGAAAATACGCCACCTCGTCCATTGTTGAGCCTATTCAGTTCCATCTCCGCGTGGGTTGCTTCTGCTTCTTTGGATCGGCCTGCTTTTTTCTCGCGCCTTTTCTCAGTCCCCCCACTTCTTGCGGACCCCGGGTAAAATAGTCGACACCGATTCTCCGAGAGGTGAAAAAGAGCGAGCGGGGGGGTTCTACGTGGCGCCACCATGGATCTTCGTCGCCACCACCCGGGTGCAAGTTCAAGGAAGGAATAGAGAGCACAAGCACAAGCACAACATGCATGCCACCCCCCGTGCATCCCTCGGCGCCGACAAAGCTCATCCCCTCAGCGGCGAGGACGGGAGCCAACCACAGCCGCACACAGAAGCCGAGGCCCAATCCTCCACGAGCAGTAGCGGCAGCAGCATGAGGGTAGCGGCTACCACGACCTCGCGTTCCTGGTGGGGCTGGTGGGGCACTCCCGCAGCCACCACCACCACAAGCAGCAGCAGTACGGGTACAACAAGCGCTCCTACTCCTACTACATCTACCGGAATGGGGTGGACAGGATGGGTCGGAGGCTGGTGGAAGGGTTGGCGCCCCACCTCCCCGGCTCTCCTTGCCCAAGCCGAGGCGCGCATGCTCCACCGTACGTAGGCTGCCCCTCGCCCCTCAAGCACGTCGTGCTTCTACTTCTTCTTCTTTTGTTGTTAAAATGCTCGCCCGCCCACAGCGGTCACCGCCAGGCACTCACGCCCCTTCCCCCCTCTCCCCGTACGCGGCAGGCGTGGCAGGGCGGGTCGAAGTGGAGGAGGTGGAGGTGGACGGGGAGGACGTCCACGTACCGCACACGGTGCACACCATCCGCCTGGGCCAGGGGCCGCCCCTCGTGCTCGTCCACGGGTTCGCCGCTGCCGTCGGACACTGGGCATGGTACGTGTGTACCTTCCCCTCCTGTCCGCGTTCAAATGCGCCCGTTCCCTCTCCCGTTGGCCCTTTGTCAGAGCCCACAAACCAACCCCTCTTTCTCGTGGTGTGTGTGTGTGTGTGTGGTGTGTCGTAACAGCAACCTGGACGAACTGGCTAAGCATCACACAGTGTACGCCATCGACCTCGTGGGCTTCGGGCGGAGCTCCCGCCCCGCCTTCACGCCAGAGGTACGGCACGCCACATGTGGACATTTGTGTGTGTGTGTGTGTGTGGGCGCGACGTGCGACTAACCCGGGGTTGGGGTGGTCGGTGATGGGCGTACGGTAGAGCCCGGAGCACGCGGAGCACTTCTTTGTGGCGTCGATCGAAGGCTGGCGCAAGAAGGTTGGTCTCGACCGCTTTGCGCTCCTCGGTATGATCATTTCTTATTTTTTTTTGTTCTTGTTGTGTCGTGTGTCAAGCCCCCCCCCCCAAAAGTAAGTGGAGATAAGTGGGCGACGCGGCCTCACAGCCTCCCAAACTCTCTCCCGTGCATCCCGTGGGATCCCCTAATCTTCCCCGCTCTCCCCGCCAAATCACGCCAACAACCGATCGGCAGGTCATTCGTTCGGGGGCTACCTGGCGGGCTGCTACAGCCTGCGGCATCCGGAGCACGTGGACGCACTCATCCTTGCGGATCCGTGGGGGCTGCCGCGGCGCACGGCAGAGGACGTGGCGAAAGCAGCCAAGATGTCCTGGCGCTGGCGTCTGGCCAAGAACATCCTCCAGAACTTCTCGCCCCTCGCGGCCATCCGCGTCGCTGGCCCGTATGGTACGCCTGCCTTGGGGAGTATGAGGCTGAGGGGCGGCGGCAGAGGCGGCTAAAAGGGATGATGATGACGACGACGACACCAATGACGAATAGTGATAATGATGACATGATCTGTGGCTGGCGCAGGACCGGGCTTGATCCACCGAGTGAGGCCGGACCTGAGCAGCAAGTGGGTGCACTACCACAAAGAGGAAGGGACGAGTGAGGTCATCCAGGAGGAGGAAGAGGAGGAGGAGGAGGAGGAGCGTGTGCCTACGAGTAGGGATGAAGCTCCGACCGCAGCAGGAGCAGCGTCTCTCTCGCTGCCCCCAGTCATCGACTACGTGTACCACAGCAACGCTCAGCTGCCTCCCACCGGTACCCATCTACTCACACGTGGTCCCTGACCTGCGGTCGCAGAAACCGCGCCGTGTGCTGACTATGGGGCGCTGTGTGCATGCAGGCGAGCTCGCCTTCCACAAAATGATGAACCCGATTGGCTGGGCAGCCCGTCCTTTGTGTGACCGCCTCCACCACCTGGACGCTTCCATACCCGTCACTTTCCTGTACGGGGAGGTGCGCCCCTGCCCCCCCCCCTCTCATTGGCCTTCCCCGTTGTTTGTGTGGTGCTGCTCACCATTTCCATGTATGTGCACATTGTGACATGTGTGACATTCCACGGCAGGAGTCGTGGATGGACCCGCGGGCAGCGGTGGAAGTGATGCGTCAGATTGAAAACCAGGCCGACATTGTGATCATCCCTCGTGCGGGGCACCACGTGTACATAGACAACGTACCCTTCTTCAACAGAGCGGTTCTTAAGGCCACGGGCGGGTCAGACCGTCTGGGAGACACCAACAAGGAGCAAGCATAAAATAAAAAAAGCATATGTTTCTTTGGCAGCTTTGCTACTATGCTGTGTCCTCTACCTGTTGTTCTCTTCTCCCTCAACTTTAGTCCCCTGTTCTTGGCCTGCTCTGGCCAAAACATTGATAAAATTGGGAAAAAAGTGACAGGGGTACTTTTCAACCAAATAAAAAACCAGTGTACAGGATGGGCTGCTGTACAAGCAAGACAGGGAAAAGCTGTGGCTTGGGACTTGTCCAGCAGGTCTTGCCACTCATGGAGTTCAGTGGAGGTGAAGCGTGGCTCAGAGCAGTGGGAAAAAAGCTAAGTGGAGATCTCATCACCTGGAGCCAGAATCCAGGGCACACCTAGCATTGAAGGTCATGACAGGTGGAGGTTAGCCACAGAAGGAAAGATGGGTGAAGCATCTCACACAAGCTTAGCAATGAAATTTCCACAGATGTTTGACCTCTCATTTCAAAGGAGCACAAGTTTGTTCTTGAACAAGTTTGGGACTGGAAAGCATTTTCATTGCTAAGCTTGTGTGAGATTATTGTAGCTTTATAGGGCAGTTTTGAAGATTTGGGTCTTAATATTTGATATTGGCATGCTAGACCACTGCTGATAAGTGATATTGAGGGACTTGAGTTGAAAAAGCCAGATTCCATAAAAACTCAGAATGTTAAAATCAGTGTGAGATAGATTGCTGTTGTGGTGGATTTTTATCTCCAGGAATAGTACTCCAATTCTTCCACAAGCCTCATCCACAGCAGATGATTCACCTTTTCAACTTGCTAGCTGAGGCCTGCCTCCCAAACCAGGCACTCCTGCACTCTGCTTGCAACTCTGCCTCTGGCAGCTGTGCCACTGCAGCTGTCCAGATGCTGGACTTCTTTGAGTTCTTTCTTCCACTTGTACATGTCAACAACCTTGGCTAAAAATCTCAATAAACACCTTTGGCCTACCTACTAGGATCAGTGCATGTGTATAAGTGAGTAGGTCTTCTTGTGGTTGTAAGCAAACCAGTGGACAGTCATGTTGCAAAACAGTTGTAATGTCAACTAAATTCGTTGTTTCTCCTTTTATTATTATTCTTTCTTCTACTCTCCTTTCAATAAACATCTCTTCTACAACTTCTTGCCATCTAGTCTACTTGACTCTGTTTGATGAGTCACCCCCATGTAAAGGAGACAAGGTATCAGCTCAAAGAATCCACTGATACCACAATGACCACTGTGGTATCATTGCACACAACAAAGAATATAACTGCAAAAAAAAAGAACTGTGGTGTAATCAGGACTGCCCCCATGAGATTCCTTCAATTTTGTGGTTACAGAACTACAAAAAACGAACTTTTGATAGCAATGGGCATTGTGCTGCACAGCATTGTGCTGACTTGTTGTGCTGGGACTATTGGGATGACACTGGGACTATTTTGGGACTATACTGGGACTGTTTTGGGACTATTATGGGACTATTATGGGGACTATTAGGGGACTGTTTTGGATCTGTTTTGGGACTATACTGGGACTATTTTGGGACTATTTTGGGATTATACTGGGACTATTTTGGGACTATACTGGGTCTGTTTTGGGACTATTATGGGACTATTTTGGGACTATTTTGGGACTATTTTGGGACTATACTGGGACTGTTTTGGGACTGTTTTGGGAATATACTGGGACCATTTTGGGACTATTTTGGGACTGTTTTTCAGACCAATGTTGGGCCAATTTGGGCCACTTGGGCCAGGCCATTTCAAGACCTTCTGGGGCCATTTACTCTGTTACCTTTGAATCTTGATTTTGTATCCCTTTTCCTAATACCAGCTGAAGAGCTGCCAACAACAACCCCAGGACCCCTGTAATTTTTTGCCTCTTTAAGCTGCAAGCAAATACATCTTTCCCAACCACAAGTGTGAGGCAGAGCTGCATGGCTCATGTCACCACACAAGCAAGAAAGCTCTTGACCTCGTGATTGGTACAAAATGCGCGGCAGAGCAGGGGCTTCAAGATGTGATAGGACTCAGCCCTGTAGGATGCCTCATTGGGCCGCTAGGACCCCGCCTTGGAAATCGAGAAGCCGTTTTTTTGACGCACACTTAGCAAGAGCACTGTTTTCTCGCTTGCCTGGGTAGCTGGCAGCCTGGCATTCCATTTTCCAGACCAATTAGACCATGGGCTACAAGATGCCGCACTATTCAGGGCGCTACGGTGCGCTATTCGAGTAAAACTACTTAAACTTGTAAAACTCCTAAAACTCGTAACTCTAATTGCTCACTAGCCCACATGGAAGCCGATGTTAGATTCAGTAAAACTCACTTGCTTTGAAAGCTCCACGGCTGGCAAAGGTGCCTGTTGAGTGAGCAGAATGAGGACTGTACAACAAGCCATTGCTGTTTAAACGAGTAGCCACGAGTAGAAAACTAGTTCCACTCTGGGGATGCAACGACAACGCGTAGAACTAGTTTAACTCGTAAAACTAGTGGAACTCGTGGAACTAGTTTTCTACTCGTGGCTACTCGTGAACACAGCAATGGCTTGTCGTACAGTCCTCATTCTGCTCATTCACGAAGGCCCGTTGCCTGGCAAAGCAACAGGCACCTTTGGCAGCCGTGGAGCTTTCAAGGCAAGTGAGTTTTCCTGAATACGTCATCGGCTTCCACGTGGGCTAGTGAGCTATTCGTGTTTCGAGTTTTAGGAGTGTTACGAGTTAAACTAGTTCTACGCGTTGTCGTTGCATCCCCTAAGTTTTACTCGTTGTCGTTGCATCCCCTTGGACGAGGCTGAAAACGAGCGTGCATTCTAGTACCAAGGGCATCAATGCATGATGGTTGGTCAAAGGGGATGAGTCGCCGGCCGCGATGTCCGCGGATAATCGCGATGTCCGCGGATAAGCGCGATCTCCCGCGGACCGCCTACTCTTCACCGCGAGGAGGTCGCGATTATCCGCGGATGATCGCGATGTCCGCGAAAACAAGCCATCCCCAAAATCGATTACACGCGTCACTTACGGGTAACTTGCGCGCCACCCGTTCAACATGGTCTACCTGTTGTCACACCCATCTCCTCGGAGATGAGTCGCTGGCTGCGACAACCAGGGGTAACTGCTCGGTCTGCGGTGGTCTGTGATATCTCCAGACTCATCTCCGAAGAGGTTAGGAGAGAGTCGCCAGCCATGACATCCCGCGGGCAGTGGCTGCGACATCTCTGGAAGGCTGTCCTCTCAGGCAGCAGTCACTGGGCGTCCAGTCCGCATTGACCCACGACATCCACTGACTCTTTGGGACATGAGTTCGAAACGTGTAGAACTCGTAGCACGCGTAGAACACGATAAACGTGTTGTCCTCCCGTGAGCGGCATTTTCGCTTGTCGTACCTGCGTAGCCCACGCGCCGGCGACGCGTAGCTTACACGTGTACCCACGCGTGGTCAACACGTAAACGTGTGCTACGCGTTCTACGCATGCTACGCGTTTTCGGACTCATGTCCTATCATTGGCTTCCATGTGGGCTCGTGAGCAATTCGTGGTATGAGTTTTTGGAGTTTAACTAGTTCCACGAATTTTACGCGTTGTCATTGCATCCCCTTAAGCAGGGTCTGGCTGTGTTGGGGGTGGTTTGGAGTGAGTGGTTTAGAGAGGATTTGAGGGTTCTGCCTGCCAACCCCTGCAAAGGGCCAGGCAGAAGGGCCTTTGCAGGGGTTGGCAGGCGTTCAGAGAGGACCACTCCTTCAAATGGTCGCAAAGGGGTGCCGAAATGGTGCCAAGGTGGTCCAAAGATGTACAGAAAGTCACCCCAAAGTGACCCCAAAATGTCCTCAAAAGTGACCCCAAAGTGACCCCAGAGTGGCCCCAAAATGACCCTGAAAGTGGCCCCAAAGTGACCCCAAAGTGACCCCAGAGTGGCCCCAAAATGACCCTGAGAGTGACCCCAAAGTAGCCCCAAAGTTACCCAAAAGTTACCCAAAACAGTCCAACACAGGCCCAAAAATAGGCTCAAAACAGGAAGAGTGAGTTGTCCCAAAACAGTCCCATAATGGTCCCAAAACAGTCCCATGATGTTCTCTGGAATGCTGGAAGAGTGAGAAACCAAATAAAAGCTACACTACTACTTCTCTGTGTTGGTGGGAGAGGGTAAAGACAGACTCACAGGATGCATCACTTCTTGGTCTTCTTCTTTTCATCTCTTTCTTTCTTCTCCTTCTTCTCTTTCCTTTCCTTCTTCTCACCTTTCTCCTTTTTCTTCTTGGTGCCAGTCTTCTTGGGCTTTTTGGGCTTTTCAGCTGTTTCTGGGGAAGCAGATGGCATCTCGCTGAGGTAGCCCCTGGACTCGATCAAAGGGGCGAAGATGATGTTGAACGCCCTGCTCTCCCCACACGCTACCTGTGCTGTTGTTGGTATAACACCACCGCGGAGCAAATGGTCCAGAAGAAAAAGGGGTACCTTCAGGTTAAGATCTCTCTCGCCTTTCTCAATTAGGTCAAGAAGCGACTTGAAAGCCTTGAGCTCTTCACCGACCTGGACGAGGTAGTTGCCACGCTTGTCTCGTGCAATCCTTTGGTGGACGATTTTGTTGTCCTTGTTGATCCGACTGATGGTGAAGCAGCTGTCGTTATTGCTGCTCAGTCGCACAAGAAACAGACCTGTTTGCGAATAGAAGGCCGAGTTAGTCCTTCGTTGAAGAGCATGCCGCGACCTGGGTGGGGTACCTTTCTTGTTCTCCTTAGACGAATTCAGGCGCGACTCGGCGTCGTTACGCCCGATGTCACCGTGAAACCAAGGTTTCTCACATATCTCAACTAACTGTGTGTCACACAAAGTAAGAGAAGAGTCAATAAGACACCGAGAGTGCGCGCGCGCACCTTGGTGATGATGTTCTTGTCCTCGTCGATCAATGGCCCAAAGCAATCCAGAAACCTTCCAAACGCCTCGCAGGTGACAGTCATAAGCGGCTTGTCTCGGGTAAAATCGCGGTAAGGAGTAGCTGTTGGTTCTCAGGTGAGTGAAAGGTGGCGCTGGTTTGCGAAACGAAACAAGGAACCCTCAGGTATTACGGCGTACCAAGTAGCGTCCTGAGGCAGAGATAAGCCTTGTCGGTACTACTCGTCTTGAGCTCGGGTACATTGAGCACCTTGGCGAGCGCCTCAATGAGATTCTCCCAAGCCACGAAGAACGGGTAGTGCTCGCCCATAAATTCCTGCGTCGACGGGAAAATTAGTTCGTGGTGGCGCGGCGCATTGAGACACGTCTCCTCCTCCTCTTCCTCTTCTTCTTACCTTGGCCTTGAGGGCCTTCCAAATCTCTTGGGCAGGTTCCTCCTTGATTGAAATCTCCACCAGGATTTCGTCGAGCTCGTTGAGTATCTCGGCAAAGTAGGGTCTGAACAGCCACCACCACCCTCGGTCAGCTCATAAGGAAGGGGGACAAGAAGGGGCTGAGTCTCCTTAATGCTTGTGGCGAGAAGAAGGGTGACAACCTACCTCCTCTTAGGGTGGCCATCCCAGCAGGACTGAATCATCCTGGCCAGCCTGGGATGAGTTGTATCCGGTAGGGGCGGCCTCTTGTCGTTATCGATCACGTCTGCGTGTCCGCACACCCCCCTTCGCGTTAAGAATGGCGAAGCATCACCTCAAAGAACATGCAAGAGAGAGAGAGAGAGAGAGAAACGCCGTACCGTCAAGGAACTCTTCGAAAGACTTGACATCGGAGAAGGGGGCCTTCCTCGTCAGGATCTCCCAGAGCACGATGGCATAGGCGTACACGTCCGACTTCTCCGACGCCAGGTGACCAGAGAGCACTGTGGAAGTTTTCGAAAGTGGAAGGAGTCATTTCCCGCCCAAAGGGAGAGGTGAGAGATGAGATGGGAAGAGATAGCCCACGCCGTCACGCACCTTCAGGAGCCATCCAAATGGGGGAGCCAACAGCAGTGTCGCGCAGCTTGTCGCCGGGCTTGGGGATTTCTTTTACGCACGAAAGGCCGAAGTCACAAACCTTGACATCGAAGTTGGCATTGACCTGAGCATGCAGTGTGCCAAGCACGCGGTGAGCGAACGCGTATCAATGCACACCATCGCTGGTGCTGGGGGTGGGCTGACGGCACGCACCAGGATGTTGGGAGGCTTAATGTCGCGATGGATGATAGGGGGGTCAAGGCAGTGAAGCCAGTTCATGCCTTGTGGGGGGGACAAGAGCGAGGTTAGACCTGGCACGCCCGTGGAGACGATTGAAGAGGCAAAGGACGACGACGACGCACGACGCACGAAAACATCGGCACAACCAGCAAGCGCGTGGCGGAAGGAGGAATGGTACCCTTGGCAATGTCCTTGGCGATACGTAGCTGCTGAGTCTGGGATAGGGGCACCTTGGCGTCGTGAAGGATGCGGTCTAGTCCTTTGCCCTCGACATACTCCATGACCAGAGCGACGTTGTTGGGATCGGTGCACACCCCCATCAACAACAAAATGCACGGATGCCTCAGCCGTCTTAGGAAGCGCGCCCCACCACCAGAAGCGATTTAGAGGGCGGGAGCGGTATTGGTGAGCGGTTCAAGGAGAGGAGGGGCGCACGTCATAATTTCAACTTCCGTTTTGAGCTCTTCCAACTTCTCCTCGCTGAGGTGCTGGTTGTGGAGGAGCTTGATCGCCACCGTTTGTCCGCGACACTTGCCTTTGTAAACTGTACCGTACTTTCCCTCAGCGATTTTTGAGCCAAATTCCAGCTCGGACGCCTTAATGTGGACCTTCCCCTTCTCCTACAATAGATGCCTCAACCACACAACCCGCCAGATACCACGGCAGAGTTAGGAGAGGGAGCAGCTTGGCCAAGCCTGCCCCACGTGTGAGGCTTTGCGCTACGCGTACCCATTCATCTTCCGACAGTTTCTTGCCCTGCGCCTGCATTATTCCTAGATCTCTCGAGTAGCTAGCCGTACGTCGTCGCCGTCTAGTCCTACGTTTGTTTGTTTTGCTTGTGGGGCGTTGCTGCTGGGTTTTTTTGTTGGGCTGCCGGGCAGCTGTTGTCGTGGTCGTTGCTCCTCTACGTTCTTATGGTCGACATGTATTCGTATTTCGCGACAAAGAAATAAGTAAAGAAAAAAAAAGAAATACTGCTGACCTCACGGTAGGGGCTGTGTGTCAGTGTCTCTCCTCTTCGCTGTCACCGCCGTCAGGGGCAGCCAGGGAGAGAAGCAGGAGGTTGCAGCCGAGCTGCAGAAGGCAGCATCGCCGTGCTGCGTGCAGTGCCTCGCGACCTACCTCGTCCTCTCCTTCCTCATGCTGCGCCGGGGCGGCGGACCCAGGTGCTGGCGCTGGTGGTGGAGGTAAGGCTCGGTGAGGAGGGCCAGGAGGAGGTCGGGGGAGGCAAGGAGGTGAGGGATGTCCTGCAACTCCGGGCATGCCACCCCCGCCAGAGGCACCAGCTGGAGCTGTTGCTGTTGCTGGCAGCCCTCAGGCCTCTTGTCGTCGTCGTCGTGGTCCGTGTCGTCCTTGTCGCCATCGTCGCCTTCGAGAGATAGGAGGTCCTGCAAGGCGGCAAGGAGCATGGCTGCCCGCACGTCGGGCTGTTCGTGCAACTCCTCGCGCCAGTAAGCGGCAAACGCACTCCCGTGCTCGCTCCACACCTCACTCACGGCCCCTCGTATTCCGGCCTCCCGCTGCTCCCATTGCTGGCGCACTTGCCGCTGCCCCGCTGGCCCCGCCGCCAGCCACGCTCCTCCTCCTCCTCCTCCTCCACCACCCGTAGTAGCAGTAGTACTCGTAGGACCGACACTGCTGCTGCTTGCCATGGCTCCTTGTGGGATCAGGAAAAGGCGAAAGGAAAAGGGTAGCAAGTAAAAAGGGGGCTCATTATTTACGAGGAAATTACAAAAAAAAGGCGAGGAAAAGAGGAAAGTAAAGATCAGCACGCGCCAACAGGAAGCAGGATGCACGCCAGAGCACCGCCAGCAGCAGCTCCTCTTCTTTTGGCCCCTTTTGCGCGACGAGCTGCCCACGTGCTCACCCTCACGCGAGGACGGCGCGGCACGCTCCTCCTCTCCACGACCTCCTCCTCCTCCTCAAACCAGGCTCCCGCTGGTGGGCAACGTGAGGAGGAAGATGAGCCGGCGCAGGAGAACGATCCTTCTCTTGCCGCCGAAGCCGCTGAGGTGGAACGAAGGCACCCCCTCTCCCTCCACTGTCCTGCGCTACCTCGCTCCTCCTGCGTCTTGTCAAGCTGACGTCGTGTGTGAGCAGGCGAGCCCGCAAGATGGCGATGGATCCCGATGACGCCCCGCCCCAGTGGACGGATGCCATCAGACGGTTCTCCACAGCTATCTCCTCGGTCACCATTCGGGTACTTTTACTCTCTCCGCTTCGCATGCTATTATGTTATGCAATACCCTGCGCGTGTGCGTGTGCCTGCTCATCCCGCGAGGCGGTCCGGTGGCCCGCCATCACGCAACGCAGCTGGACGACGTCGGACACCACCGTGTGGGCGACGCCGGGGATGTCAGGCCTGCCGGGCAGGGCCTTATGAAGACCTCGTACGCACTCTCTCTCTCTCTCTCTTTGTCTCTCTCGCCCCAGCTGTCGCGCCCGCCCAGCTCAGCTGATACCCTCTGGGGTGGAGTTTGGGGGGGGGGGATCGATGTGCGCGCACGCAGGCGCAAGCTACCAAAGCTGCGCTCCATGCGGGAGACAACGTCGACCGAGGAAGGGCGATCCCAGGCCAAGCTCACCGCGACAGTGCTCGCGAAGGTCCTCGAGGCTCGAAGAGAGACGGGCGGAGAGTCCGTGTTGCGGCTTCACGAACTCGCCAACAGGTTACATGTGGAACAGTCGGCCCTGGAGGCCGTCCTGCGCTACCACGATGACCTTCCTGAGTACAAGGTGGCCACCCTCCCCCTCGCGGATTTCCTCGCCATCTGCTTAGCTTGGATAGGAGACTAACGGACCGTTAACACGAATTGCACCACCAGGCGAAGCTGCAGGACCTCGCCCAGCTCGCCAAGTGAGCGCCAGGTCAGAACAAAATTAATCTTTAAATAAATCGAATAGCGGAAAACCAAAAATACCAAAAAATAAAAATCCCCACATGGAGCAGCATCTTGAGGGAACGGTGGGCGGGCCTCTCGTGTGGGTGGACCAGCCCCCACTTGAGGAAGCGCTCATGGCGGAGGCGCGCTGGTTTGGTGGCTATGCCCTCCACCGCGGAGCGCACACAGCAGGCGTACCAGTTCGCCTGGCGCTGGCGCCCCACTGCCCACACCGAGCACGCCCGCCTGCCCGCCCATCTCTTCCTCGGTACTGCTTCCTCTTTGACAGTCCTTCACATTGAAAGCAAACTTTCACGCGTAGTGAAGCTGAGCCCCCCCAACGAGCAGGGCGGAGGTGCACTACCGCTGGAACGGCCTCATCACGCAGCAGCACGAGCACGCCCTCTATTGGTTTGGGGATTGGGAGCGTGAAAACGCCTCCTCTCTCCTCTTTCTACGCGCCCGCCCGCCCTCGCCGCTCGTACCTCCTCCTCCTCCTCCCGTACCTCTTCTTCGTTGCCGGCTTACCCGCGATGCTGGTGGTGGTGGTGGTGGCTGGTGGTGGTGGCTGGTGGTGGCTGGTGGCTGGTGGCTGGTGGTCGGACCGAAGGACGAGGGAAGCGTAGCAGGCGGGACCGCCGGAGGGGGCTGGCGGTGCGAGCGCTTGTTTGAGCTGCCTCGCCCTGCGCCGGGTGAAGTCGGCCCCTCTTGGCCACGCACTGCGCAGCAGCAGCAGCAGCCCGAAGCGGACAGCGACAACCGGGAGGAGGAGGAGGAGGAGGAGGCGTCCGCAGTCGTGCTCACTTCCACTTCCCATCCCGACCGCGCGGTCGTTGTGGGATCCGATGGCCTTGGCCACCTCTTCGTCGCCGGTGCGCGCCTCCATCCCCTCCCCTCCCCTCCCACTCCATCCCGTCGCGCGCGCGCGCACGCCGGTTGCTGGTCCCCATCTCACCCACCCCGCCTCCCTTTCCCCATTTCCTTTCCTTTCCTTTCCTTTCCTTCCTTTGGGGGGTGGGGGGATGCTCAGATGTGGGGCGCGGCGAAGAGGCTGCTGAGCTGCAGGCGGCGGTAGAGGGCGGCGCAGGTCGGGTGGTGGTCTACGAGGACCTGGCCTGCCCCTCCCCGGGCGAGGAGGGAGGAGCCCTGGTGCCCCGCCCCTTTGTCGTCGTGGCCGCTGCCCTGTACCCCGGTAGGTGGTGGGAGGTGGTGCCCCACCCCTTTCCCTTCCCGGTCGGGGGGGAGGGGCATTTTGGCGCTTTGGGGGGGGGTGGCGGAGAGAGAGAGAGAGAGAGGAGCGGAGGATGCCTCTCGTGTATCGCGTCAACCATCGCTGGTGGTGATCATGGTTCCTCCCCGCAGGCGACCGGGAGCTTCTGGCTCTGGCCTACTACATGACCCCCTCGCCCGCCACGGTCGAGCTGCACCACCAGCAGCACCAGCAGGCCAGATGGCACCACCACCTGGTTCTGCTTTCCGTACACCTCCCCGGCAGCTCCTCCGGTACTCAGCCCAAGGCACGCACCCCGCTGCCCACCACCTTCGACCCTTTCAGTAGAATAGGGGGGAGCTCCTTGTGCTTTTGGACCAACAGTCCCTCTTTCTCACACACGCACTCTGCTCGCGTGTGCGTGTGCGTCGTGTGTTTTCGCGCGTTGGAGCAGGTGACGGTGGTGGAAAGGCTGGTGGGCCTGCATCGCCCCTACAGCGCCAGCTTTGTTGCTGATGCCCGCGGCATACCATCCTCCTTCGTCCTGGTGAGCGAAGGTTCTCCTCTTCCATCTACCCCCTCCTGCAAGGCTGATGCTCACCCGGGTATGGCACTCGTGTGTGTGTGTGTGTTGTGTGCTGCGCGTGTGTGCGGTGTGTGTGTGTGTGTTGGGTTGGGTTGGTGTGTGTGTGTTGTGTGTGTGTCGTTGGTCGTGTCGTGTGTGTTGTGTGCCGCGCGTGTGTGCATGGGTTGGGGTGTGTCGTGTGTGTGCGTGTGTGTCGTGTGTGTGTGTGTCGTGTGTGTGTCGTGTGTGTGTGCGTGCGGTAGGAGTGTTCGGGCGTTCCATCGACGCTGTCGCTCGCTTCTTACCCGGCCGCCCCGCCATCTCGCCCTTGGTGCAGCTTCCCGGGGACCCATCTCAGCCTTCGCCCCGACAATCCCTGCAGCACTCCGGCGAAGAACAGCCGGACGAAGAGGACGAGGAGGTGCGCGTGCCTACCACCACCGCCTCTCTCGTGCCTCCGAAGAGTTGGTCCGGTACTGCGTTTTTATTTCTTTTTCTTTTTCTTTTTTTTACCACCACAAAAAATAGGCTTACGGACGGCGCGTGGACAGAGATGAGTATGCAGGAGATGGCCGAAGCGATCAACGCCCGCCTGGAGATGGAGACTGAGGACATCGACTTCTTTGGCTCCGAGTCAACGTATGACGACGACGAGGAGATCGCCGATGTCCGGTCCACCCGTACGTACCCCTCCCCTCCTCACCCTCAGCACCGCCACCCATGTCTAGCTCCCCGGTGTGATCACGTGGCCGCGCCGGCTCACGTCTGGCCGGCTGCTGCTCTCGGTGGCCAGGATCAGGCACGGTGGCGGGCGGGAGCACGGGCACGTGGGGTGTCTACCGATACCGCTGCTTGCCCACACAGGAAGGTGGCGATAGCCAAGCCGCGGTAGCCCTCACCCACCTGTACTCTCTGGGTGTCTTCCCCGTCATGGGCGTTCAAGATATCTCCCCAACCGACAAGTACATTCGTACGCATTCCTTCTCTCCCCCCCTCAATCCCAATTCACCCTTGGCACTTGGTGAGTGTCCCTCCTTCCTTCCTCCTTCGCTTACCATGTTTCCCGTTTTCGTTTTTGGCCGTGGTGGGGTGGGTCAGTGGCCAAGTGCGACGTGGACTGCCTGGTGTACAAGCTCTCCTTCGGCGGCCTTGTGGGGGATTTAGAGGTTGATCCTCCCCTCTCAGCCCAAAATTCGTTCGCGTGGGCAGCGCAGGCCACCAAGCTGATTGGGTGGATAACCCTCATCGCAGGTGCCCATGAGCCTCGCTCATGTGGACGTGTTTGCCGGGCTGGCCTACATTGAGGCGGGCAAGCGGCACAAAAAGGCCACCCTCGTATCTGCCACCCGCGCTCATGCCGTCATCTTGGAGGGTAGCCGCTTTGTCTATGTCTACCACCACGCTGCCCCTGGTTCACCCCCTTCCCCCCCTTTTTCTCCACCTTTCTCACCCTTTTTTGCCCACTCCTGCCAGGGAGCACCAAGTCAGGGCACACCATAGTGGAGGATGAAACAGGAGAGGACATTCTGGGCTGGCAGTTTGTGGGTCCACACCACCTGGCCTTCCTCACCAGAAGCAAACTTGAGATCCACCCCCTCATCTGACGGGTACCCGACAGCTTGTCCTGATGGGTTGGTAATCACTTCCGAGCATAGAAGGGATCTTTTCTTGAAAAGATTGTGTAGCACACACTCTGCCTTGCGGCATGTTTCAGGCAGGTGGAAATGGCTACACACGCTTCACTGTTGCGCACAACCAATCCCGGGACCACCACCTTCATGCTCCTCATCACTGTCAGAGTTGTAGGCCTCCCTTCCTCCGTGTCCACTCTTCCGCCTAGGCGGATACAAAAAACTATTGTGAGGCCCAAGTGATGGGAGACAAGCTGCGCAGGGGAGCACCTTTCGGGGTTGTAGTCCTGGAGGTAGATCTCTTCAACATGCTCCCCAGCCTCTCGCCTCCTCTTCACCTCTGCGTCGGTCTCGGCTTTGCTATCTGGGCTGGGAAGCGCGTGATGCAGCAGCTACCCGAGCGAAAACACACACACACCACACACCACACACCACACACAAGCAGCCTGTGAGTTGCGCACAGAGGGAAAGAAAAAGAAATGCTCGCACCTGGATTTGATCGGGAGTGATGGTGGAGGGGAAGACGATGTTGAATTTAAGGATCAGGAGGCCCTTGTCGAATGGCCTCTTGTACGTGGGCATTCCTTCCCCGGGGATCTCCTTCACGTCGCCTGCGTGGATGGGAGATGATTACCAAGTGAGCATTGGCAGCGTGGAAGGCTCGGCGAAGACGAGAAGCACACACACACACAGGCACAGCCACATGAGATCAAAGGGACGGGTAGGTTACCTGGCTTGATGATCTGCTGTGGCTGAGACTTGAGGAGCAAGAGACGGCCATCGAGATGAGTCACGGGTAGGGTGAAACCGGTGAGGGCTTGAAGGAGACTGATGTCGAGTTCCATCATCAGATCCGACTCGTCGCGGCCACCGCGAGCACGGCCGCTGCCACGTTGGAAGCGAGGGTGCGGCTTCATCTTCAGGACGATCAGCACGTCTCCGTTGGCGTGGTCGGGGAGCTGATTGCCTTCACCGCTGAAGGTGATCTTTTGATTGTGGCGCATGCCCTTGTCCACGTGCACCTCGATCATCTTGGACTCCTCCACCACCTTCTCGCCCTTGCACTTGCCGCAGCGATCAGCCGCTTTGATGATCTCCCCTGGCATGGCACCACCACCAGCCACCACCACCACCACACATGACGCAGCACACCACGCGTGTCAGCACAACAGACGAGCAAGAGGGACTTGGGGAACAAAATCAAAAAAAAATGAAAAATGAAAAAAAAATAACAACGAGCAACGCGTGGCACGTGCAGCAGCAGCAGCAAGCCAAGGGTACCTTGCCCACGGCACTCGGGGCAAATGTGCTCCTGGTGCGTCACCAGCCCTGGCGCGAGCTGCACGATACCTACGCAGATGCCCCGTCCGCGACACGTGTTGCACTTGGTCCCACCAGCCTGACTCTTGGTGCCTCGCCTGCCACCGTGTGTGTGTCGTGTGTCGTGTGTGTGTCGTGGTGTTGAGTTGTCAGGCAGCCCTGGTGGTGCCCTGGCCTGCCGGTGGTACAGACCGCCCACCCCAAGAGGAGAGAGACGCGAGGGCGGGGGCGGGGGCGTTACCCTTGGCAGAGGTCGCAGAGGACTTGTCGCTCGAGGGGAGCCTGGAAGGACTTGCCGTTGTAGAGGTCCTCGAGGGTGACCTCGAGCGCCTGGGCGATGTCCTCGGCCTTCTTCTCGCGGCGGCGGCCTCCGCCTCGGCCTCCGCCGCCAAAGGGCCACCCGGGGAAAGGAAAGTCGTCGCCACCGCCGCCCTCGCGCAGGCCCTCCTCTCCAAACCGATCGTAGAGGCGACGCTTTTCCCCGTCCGACAGCACCTCGTAGGCCGTGCTCACCTCCTTGAACTGCGCCCACGCAAGCAAGCAGGAATTCCAGCCAATCAGCCAAAAGGTCATTCACGCCAGGCCCCGCCCGTGTGGATAGAGATCTTCCCTCTCAACGCTGCATCTCCTCTTTCCTTGCCCGTGCTGCTGCTTCGCTGCGGTGGTGGGGTAGGAAGGCGCACCTTTTCTTCGATCTCGGGATTGCCTTGATTCTTGTCAGGGTGCAGCTGGCGGGCGAGCTTGCGATACGCCTTTTTGATGTCCTCCTCCGAGGCATCGGGGGCCACGCCCAAGAGGTCGTACAGCCTACTCTCCTTTACACCGCCGCCCTGCATCTGATGTGGTGGTTGGTTGGTGGTGGTGCTCGACGTCCTTCTTGCCTCCGCTACAAAGAAAGAAAAAATATATTTAATAAATAATAATTGCATAACTCCGGGGACGACAGGGGTCACTCGGCCGAGGTTGGCGACGCCGCAGCCGACAGGAGTGACGTCGAGCAGTGCTGACAGATGGGCTGGCCTCCCGCGTCAAAGAATCCCGACGCCAGAGAGCCGGAGCAATGCGAGCACACTGGCGTGGGGCGTGGGGCGTGGGGCGTGGGGCGTGGGGCGTGGGGCGTGGGGCGTGGGGCGTGGGGCGTGGGGCGTGGGGCGTGGGGCGTGGGGCGTGGGGCGTGGGGCGTGGTTGCGGATAGAGGATGGCGGATGAGAAAAGCTCCTCCTCCACCGTATGTACATTCTTAAATAAAATGGTGAACCGGGGTTGGTGGCGTGGGGCGGGCGGGACGCACCGAAATGCTCGGGGTGCCAATCCTTGCCCATGGCCTGCAGGAAGCCCCCGATGATCTGCTGGTTGCAGCCCCCGCATCGCTTGCCGAACATGCTGCACGCATAGAAACAACATACATACGGCACATTTAAATGAAACGAAATGATATATGGTATATGCACACCATTCGCCGTCACATGGGCCACGCGGAAGAGGATGTGAGGTGTGTGCAAGCACGTGGGGCACACACACGATACCACACGCGATACATGCCACGGCGCACGGCACACAAGAAAGTGGCGGAGGGGTGGTGGTGGTTACGCACCGGTTGAAGTCCTCGACGCAATAGGGCTTGGCTTGGTAGGGGACGTAGGAGCCCTGGAAGGGAAGACAGCAGTGTGCGCACACAAAGCATTCGGTGTGCCAGCGTTGGTCCAGCGCGTTGATGCCCTTCCCGCTGATGGGCTGGCGGCACCTCGCGCACGTATTGGGCGAGGCCATATCGCCCCCCTGGCCGCCGCCACCCCATCCGTGGATGGGAGCTCCCGTCGTCGTGGTCGTGCCGGTGCCGCCGCCGCCGCCGCCGGTAGTGGAGGTGGAGGTGGAGGTCGGGTCGGTCCTCGGGCCGGGTCCGCCGTAGGCCGTCTGCGGGCGGGCAGAGGGGGCAGCGGGGAGAGAAGGCGGCCCCTCCCGCGGCCCGAGGAGCGAAGGCGACGTCGTCGGGAGGCCGTAGAAAGAGTCGGGCGCGCCCATCCTCTGTCGGGAGGCTCCCGGCGGAAGAAGAGGGCTTGCGCTGCCGCTGCCGGCGGACGCGAGGAGCGGCGAATACGAGGACGAGCCACGCGGTGGGGCAACCGGGCCGGGGCCGCCGCCGCCGCCGCCGCCGCCGCCTCGCATGCCCGGAGGAGGCGTCGGGGGCAACGCCTTGGGCGGAGTGGGGCGGAGAGTGGCCGCCGCCCCGCCTGCCATGGGGTAGCCCGGCAGAGGAGGAGCAGCCGCCGCGCCTGTGTTCCCCCCAACCGCCGCCGCCGTCATCGTCCATCGTTCATGGGCACGTGCACACACGCACAGGCAAGAGCGGCGCGTGCAGCCAGGTGGCTGGTGGCTGGTGGCTGGTGGGGATGTACCGGGTGTGGTGGACTTGGGGGTGGCGAGCTGCTGCTGCTGCTGCTGCGGGTTGCGGGGAGATTGAGCACGCGGAGGAGGCAAGGCTCTCGTGCCTGACCCCGAACTCGCCAGGGACGACGACGGCGACAACGAGGAAGAGGACGGTGACAAGGGTGCGGCGCCGCCCCCTCTGCGAGAGATAGGGGGAGAGGTGGTGAGTCGATATCAAGGTGGGGCGATGTGCGCGGAGAGTGTGTCGGTGGGGATGGGTGAGGGGGTTGGAATCACTGCAGACCTCACATATACACAGCACACGACACACGACACACAGACAGAGCACCCAACACCCAACACACACACACACACACAGCACAGCACACGACACACACGCACAGCACACACACGTGAGGAGGAAACGTACGTGGGCATGCCGCCGACCTGTGCCAAAGCACCCGCACCCGCAACCGCACGAGGGGCGCGCGCAGGCCGCGCGCCAGTTGTGGAGGCCTCGCGTCGCTTCGCCTCGACATCCTGGACAGGCGAGAGTGGGCCAATGCCATGAAGCGAGGGTGAGTACTTGCGCGCAAGCCATCCAGGCACCCGCCAAGCTCTCAACGGGCATAGTTGGAGAGGGGCATTCACAAGGGGCCACGGGTGCGCGTGGAGGGGAACAACACTACCAACTACACACACACCACACCACACCACCACACACCACACCACACCACACACCACACACGAAATAATACACAGCGCGCACGACACACATCTATACCCGAAAGAGGGGCTCGTAGTGGCGTATCAGGAACTCGACGATGTTGTAGCCGTCCTTGAACCCGGAGCAGTCGAACGGGTCCCCCGACTTCTTGTAGAGGAGATTGGGTCCGAACACGATCGCTACACACACACAGAGAGAGAGAGAGATGTCAGCCGCGATGTGCTGGTAGTGGCTTTGAGGTTGGGGGGAGGGGGGAGGGGTGTATTGAAATAGAAGGCCCACCCAGGTTGTGCGGGTTCATCTTGTTGACTTCACAATTGTGGGCGACGTCTGCCAGGTACCGCATCAGGTACTGAAGCGCGAAAGCGTGGGCCTGCAACCCCCAACCCCCCGCACACGAGTTAACGAGGCAAGGCATATGGGGATTTTGGGGGGGGGAAGGCAGAAGCGGGTGGTGTGGCTTGTTGTCGTCGTCGTCGTTGTGGTTGGTTGGTTGGTTGGTTGGTGATCCAGAGGGGGCAGCGCGTACCGGAGGCAGCTGCCCGATGAGCTTGCGGGTCTCGGCTATACGCTCCGCGAGAAGCCCCCCCTCCTCGGTATCGGCTGTCCAGCGAGATGGTCGGGGGGGGAGGGAGGAGGCGGACCGCGGGTGTAAGGAATGAACGGCCGACGTGCGTGCAGCGATTAATGGTGGTGGTGGTGGTGGTGGTGGTGGTGATGATGGTGGTAATGATAACGTAGGCGAGTCGTAGTCGCAGTGGAGGGGGGGGTACGCGTAATGTGCCGGGTGGCGATGAAGGCGTCGTAGAGGGCAAAGGTCATGAGGGGTTCGGGCAGCTCTCGGATCCACAGCTTCAGCAGCCCCGAGACCACGTGCGGGTCGACCCCCGGCGGAAAGTCCCACTCCACTCCCTGAACAGCAACAAGCAGCAAGCAGCAAGCAGCAAGCATGAAGGCCGAAAAGGAACCACAACCACCCCGCACGCACGCACGCACTGTTAGGATCGGATATGGAGAGAGAAGAAGTGACGGGGAGAGAGCCGTGCACGGTAGTTTTGGGGGAGGAAAATGGGGAGGAGGAGGAGGAGGAGGAGGAGGCGCACCTGGTCGCACATGTTGCGGTAGTGCTGCATCTCGGTCATCATGCCCGATATGCGGAACAGCCCCTCCACGTGGGTGGCGTTGTTATCGATGAGCCACGAGATCGTTTTCTCCACGATGAAGGGCACCTCGCGGTCGTTCTCACGCGTGGTCATGAGCTCGTTGAGAGAGATCCCGAACACTGCACCGCCAGCCGCCAGTTGCCAGTTGCCAGTTGTTGTCAAATTGATGATCATAGCTTCGGCTCGCTTGCGGGCTTACACAATTTCTCCCTCCCCCCCTCCCATCCCTGGCAGCCGATCGATGAATTGGAGGGGAGGAGGGGAAGGGGAGGAGAGACGTACGCCGATCGGCGGCGAGGCTTTGGATGACGGCGGAGATGTCCCGCTTCCACTCCCCCTTGCGCTCGGGTGTGGGAGCACACAGAGTCATGGTCTGATTCAGCCACACGATCTCGAACGCATTCCGCAGGGCTGCACATGTGATAACAATAACAACAACAATAACAACAACAATATAAATAGAGCATTGGGCGGCGTCAGTCACCAACATCCTTGGTAGCGAGGTGGGGCGATCATGGGTGGGGCAATACAACAACTACTCCTACTCCTACTGCTACTACTGCTGCTGATAAGAATAATAGCAACGGGCGATGGTGGGCTGTGTTTGGAGGAGGAGGAGGAGGAG